TGCACATTTTTTGATGAAAATTTCGGCAGTTCGCACCTTCAGACATTTCGCAGCCTATTCTACCCGGTATGGCTGCAATTCCGGGAGAGTGAGAGGACCTCGAGATTCCTCCGTGGCCAACGCTTTTAAGCTTGACTTGTGCACTCACGTTTAACGGGGCAATTTTGTCGGGGCTGCAGGCATGGCTTCAAGGTCTGCATATAATATCAGCAATAGTTACGACATCAGGTGTGACTTTTAGTATGCATTCGACATTTAAATATCGTCAGCAGCTTACTCAGTTATCAAAAACGGTCTTCGATGCTGGACGGCTTTCGTGCCTTACGATCCTAATCCATAAAACCCACTTCAGACCGCTGGCATATTTTATGTATCCGTGATAGTGCTTGCGCGCCTACACTTGGCTCGAAACATCAGTTGCCGGTTTTGCCCTCCGAGAAGCACACTTCTGCGCATGTTATCTTTGTTGTGTCAGACATCCCGACTTTCCACCTGCATTGGTTGAGCTAGTATCATTTCAAGTTGTTTACTGGTTCACATACTTTCATACTGTTACAGCTAATGCTAGATTATCCGTTGTATCCCCTAGCAGGTTTGATCTGACGTAATAACCTCAATCCTTGACAATGTGTATGTTCCCCTGATGTCTTAATAAGCTTACTCATTTAGTAACAGAAGAGGGTTCTGGTCCTATTTTTTCACCAGCTCTCAAGCTAGCCGGCGCCTTCTTTACAGCGCTTCCGCAAAATCAAATATATTCCTGTTTTGATTTAGTGTTTGCATCCAGCAGGATTATTAAACTATCGGCACAAGAGTAGCAAGTTCGTTATTTCCTTGATGCTCATTATATTAAGCATCGTCATGTACCAATTCCTCAGTTTTTATAAATCCAGAGCACACTAAAACAATTTACTATCGCTTTTCGATTGGAATGACAATACATTTATTTCGAGGATAGTGTATGGTCGTGAATGCTCTTCCATCATAAATATAGGTCGCTAGATAACTATCTAGGATGTGAAAAAATGCGAGAACAAGTCTGCTTTCTGCTATGACCGAATTGATCGATTCAAAATGACAGGGCCCGGTAAAGGAACGTATATATCTCCTCGTAAGTGTTAGAACTTCCACAGAAATCAATACGAAATCCGTTTCCACCCTAGCTGAACAATTAGCTTTTACATACTTTTTCATAAAACTGGCTCAATACGCATTCATCCAGAACATAACCAAAACAGTGCATTACTTTTTGACCAAAGACAAGGCGCGACTGTAATTGCAAAAGCTCCGCGGACAAGCTTCGTCCGCTAGTGCCTTAATTGATTTGTTTCCGTTTCGACAGTTTATTAAGGGCTATCCTTAGACTGGCAAGCAGCCCAAACGTCGGAGACCGCGTGTCTAGCCAAGGACTAGGGGCTTACCAATATTTAGCTCCTGTGCAAAGCCATGCAGTCGTGTATGATCAGTACGCTTTTCTAAGGGAAAATCATGCTCTGGGAGTCCCGTATTACAATGGAAATCATTAACCAGAACTCCGACCATGACGCAAGTGTCAAGCCAGTTTTCATCGACCTGAGGCTTCCGACACGATAAGTCACTCTGGAAGAAATAAAGGGTCATGGCCTCGCTGAAAGTGTATATTTAATATAGGATTCGTAAGTGCGTTCGGAATTCAACATGACCCGAATCATTCAGTTATAGTGAAAGTCCTCAAGCTTCCATGTCAGGGCCGTTGTTCTATCTTTTCTCTGTAACAACTATCCACTAGCCGTTATACAGACCTGTCCCTTGGTTGCTGATAACATTTCAACAATGGCCGAAGAAATTTTCGATTTGGGTGCCCAACTATGTCTCGCCTTGGGTGCTCATCTATCGTCCCATTGTTCTTTGGAGCTCAGTGTGATGTACTCGCAGGAATTCACATAGTGACCAGGCATATAACTTAAGAAGATTAGCGATACTGACAAAGGAAACTGAAATGACCGTCTACTGCCTACTAGCAGTCGTCAGCCACTTTTCTGCCGCGTATCATATGTAGTTATTACTTATGGTACGTCTCTGTTATCATCTGGTGCGTGCTGTCCCCTTGCCTTTACAGACATTAGCTCGGTTCGATTTCCATTCATGCTGAAGTATTCGAACAGTCTAGAATTCTCTTGTAACGATTGGGGGTATGGTTGACCGACGGTGGCACACCAACCAGAAAACCACTCCAGTCAAACTATCTTTGCCGGCGACACTGCCGAATCAACAACCACCGCTTCTTCCCTTCGGGCGTTCCTCTCACTGCACAACCCCGTCTAAAGGCTTCCTCTTGTCTCGGGAATCCCGTTATTTACCCTCTGTTTGCTTTTTCTCATCATCAAATTCGGCTATGTACGCGTCCTCTTTTCTGCATACGCCTCTTGCTCTTGAAAACCTTCCCCAACATTCGTATTCACCATGTTTTTTTACGCTTAGCTTGCAGATGGCTGACGCGGGGAACTGGTGCTTGATAGAAAGTGATCCAGGAGTGTTTACTGAACTCATGAAAGGATTTGGTAATGTTCTCATCACTTCTCTGATTTATAAATAGGAGTCGAAGGCTTGGCTTGTGAAGAAATATACGATTTACATGACACAAGCAATATTTCCGACGCACTGGGTCTCATCTTCCTGTTCAAATGGGAGAAAGAAGAAAATAATCCTGGAAAATTGGTTACAGACGACCGGTTGAAGTCAATATTTTTTGCAGAACAAGTTTGTCGCTTTATTAACTCACTGTTAAGGTAATAAGGAACGCTTGCGCCACTCAAGCCATCATCAACGTTTTATTAAACCTTCCGTCTTCAAGTGTGAAAATCGGCGAGACCCTATCCGACTTTAAATCCTTTGTGCTTGACTTTGATAGCAAGGTCTGCTTTTTTTAAATATCTAATTTCTGCAGATGAAAGGCAATGCCCTAACAAATTGCGACAAAATACGTTCAGTGCACAACAGTTTCAGCTAGTAAGGTGATCTTTCTCGTCACACTTTGTTTTTTTTTCAGTCCCCAAACGTTTGAGATTAACAGCAGCAAACATGCCAAAGAAGAAGATGCATATCATTTCGTTGGTTATGTTCCCATCGATGGTGTCGTTTACGAACTTGATGGATTGAAGGGAGTACCGCTGGAGCACGGCCCTATTCCCACAGGGTCTTCCTGGATTGATGTCATCAAGCCTGTGTTGCTTAATCGTGTACAGGCATGTGTTGATGGACGCTTTAACCTCATGGCCATCGTTCCAAGCCGCCTCAAGTTGTACGAAACTCAGCTGGAGGATATGCTGAAGTCTGCAACGGTGAGTTTTCAGTTTCCTGTCTATTGTTCGAATAGTTGGGATGTCTATAGCACTGGCAGATTGGGCTATTAATTAGTAAGAATGATCATGCAGATTTTTAGGGCATCGAAATGATATCCAGATGTAAATCCAACAAGCAAATATGTTTGAGTATTAATCGGGATCTTAGGGTTTCGAGATAAATTGTCCAAGGACAGAGCGGCAGACATATTTCAAATGAAATCGCCTGTTAACGCGGGGCAAACTTAAGTCACGACAGATGCCAGTATTAGCACACCGCGCGACAGTTCGACCATCGATTATGTCCACCGTATGCTCAAAACAGGTTGGTTCAGGAGCAATGACTTAAGCATGAGTTTATTTTAAGTGATAGTGGGCTTGCGCAGCATCTACCACACCCTCTCTTCCCGCACCCACCCTAGGCCGGTGTCAAGAGAGAGAGAGCCAAAAGACGGAGGCGGGATCGGGCGCAAGGCCGCTCCTCCTATGCGTGTCACCACATTGCGTGTGAGCTAGTTTTAAGTGATAGCAGACTTGTGACGCATCCACTGCATACACGCACGTCAGGCGGGGTTCTGCTGCAAGGTGCAGCGCTGCTCAGAGTTAAGATGATAACCAGGACTTGTGATGTAGTTAGTCACGAAGAATAAAGAAAATGAGCTATTGTCACCTTTGCTTGAAATGCTTCGTCCCAATCATACAGTTTGGATTTTTTAGCCGGACACTGAACTTGTGGAACAGCTCAGACAAAACATCGCCATTGAGAAGAGCAAAGCGGCTGCCCAGCGTTCGGAAAATCTCCGGCGCCGACATAACTACCTACCCTTCATCATCGAACTGTTGAAAGTCCTTGCTGAAAATGGACGTCTTGTGAACGTCGTGCGGAAGGCGAAAGAAAAGTCGGAAAAACTGCAGGAAAAAGCGGCCGTCAAAGCCTGACCAACAAGAACTGCAGTATAAAAATTTACTATTTCAAATAAAGCAAGTTAAAATATGTCGCTCGCGCCTTTGTCCAAAAGAATGGAATGGGAACTTGTCTGAAGCAGTTAATTCATGATGACTAAGCGGATACACTTGAAAAACTACACGTTAGCGCCTGATGACTGGGGTCGTGTTGGCGTGGGAATAGCTGCTTGTTGTAAACTTGCGCTACAATGCCGACCACTGCGGTGCACAAGGTCAAGATAGTGCCGAGTGCGATGCTCCAATTGTCCAGGCTGTCGGAGGCACTTCGATACATGCGCACATACCGTGTGTTCTCGAAGGTGCTGCTGCGTGCCCAGCCGGGAGCAGCAACTCGGTTTCCGTCAAGGAAGAAGAAGGAAGTTGAAGCGTCAATTAGGCTCTGGTAGCACCACTGACTTCCATTGAAGACTTTGCAAAACAAAACAGAAGCCAGATAGTGGGCGGCGAAAAAAGAAAAGCACAGCAACAAGTGGGAGCAAGGCGCGTAAAATGCACTTACAACCATACATGTAGGTGTAGGCGCCATACTCCTCGGCAGGTGGGCATTTTTCGTGGCGTTTGCCTGTTAGCCCCATCAGAAGGCGTGCGACCACATGAGATACACGCCATTCTCGGCCACCTATGGGAGTATAGCCCTGTGTCGGAATAGGTCCTGACAAACTCAGCAGAAATTTTACAACGTCGGATTCCAGGTGCTACAAAGGGAAAGTTCAGTCAGGATTAGGAACTGTACCCCTAGGCTGAGGAAATGCTTAATAAGCAGATAGTGTCGTAAGTTCAGGAATGACTTGCCGCTAACCAATGTGCGGGGAATTGTAGAAATTCAAGAAAAAGCCGATCTCAAGGAATTCGGCACATTGGGTACCGAGGTGCAGTTGCCGCACGGCATATCTGCATCAACAACGGAGTCAATCTCCCCACCCATCTGGCGCACGGATGTGGCGATGGGGAAACCTACCTATCGTATACTGCAGGTCCTCGACCCCGGACATACATCAGTAAGCAGGCCAGGTATGATTACTAGACAGTGCCACAATGGCGACAATTATGTAAGTAATAGTGTTCTCATGGATTTGAAGTCGGGCTCAGGCGCTACGGTTTTTTTGGCTGGCCGTGCGGTTTACGGAGCCTACCACGGCTAAATTTGGTAGTTTTGGCGCACCTAGTGTAAATGCTACACAAGGTCCAGTATGTTGTAACGATGACTTCACTGGTATCACTGTCTAATTACGCCCGTTGGAATCCCCAAGGAAGAACACAATAATAAGGGCGTCAGTTTGGAATCCACCTGGAGACGGGTTTATTGTGTACAAAATCGGAGTTGCCGTCTCCGATGGCAGTTGCCGCTGGCTGATCTCCGGCGCGCTGTTTTCCCGTCCCAGGGATAGGCCCGGCAATGGGACCGGACTGACAGTGTCCTCGCAGTCCGTGTGCAACTCACTGTCTAAGTGGTTACAGTGGCTTATAAGTGATTATCGAGCGCGTTCGCTTATGGCCTGATTGGACGCATTGGGATTAGGTCACGCGACCATATGGCCCTTAAGGAACTGCGTCCAGGTGGCACGTGTGTGTCGGGTTTAAGGTCATCGCTCGAGCACAGTCCAGCGAAGGCATATGACCTTGGAGACAGCCTACTGTTGACAAAGGAATCATTGTGACAGTCGACGACAGGCACGACGCCTCAGGAGAGTCTGCAAATGTTGCCAGAATTTGGTCAGGCTACACTCCTAACACCGTAGGGTTGAGGAAGACAGGCCGGCTCGAGTACACTGAGAATGAATGTCTGAAGGTAAAGCCTGATCCAGGAAGATTTGCAAATTTCTTCTACGAGATTCACAATGGCAGAATGACGAGGGTTACAAAGGGTCTTTTAAAATGTTCCCGCAAAGTGAAAATGAGTCCCGTATGAAACTTTAATTTCATAAACTCTGGATTCGTCCAACTAGCAGCAGACTTCCTAAGACTGAGAGAGCAGGACTGAGTCCTTGAATGGATCAAAATGTCAATCTGCCTAAACGGTCCACAGTTCAAATGCACTGATCGCCTTAGCCTAGAAGCAAGTCATTCATAGAATACGCCACAACGCAGATTCATTACTTGCTTTTGACATTTGACAAAAGTTTGCCCTTTTAAATACATTCTGTCAGTCGCCCAGGTGCAGGACAGAGTCCACAGTTTCAGTTAGGTCCAAATACCCTTTCCAGCAGTAGGCTCATGAAAGGTGGCCATTTAAAATGCCCTGAGACGACAGACCAATGAGCAACAAGCAAACAGGAACATCCGACCACATGGCGGGGTCAACGTTCGATTGTACGCCCGACTGCCAAGTGACCCAGGTAATAAAAATAAGAGAATTAAAGTTGGCGCACCAATTCGGAAGATGATGGATATAGAGGAGGAAGAAAGCGGGCTCGTTCAGTCCAGGGTTGTTGACGACAAGCCATACTGAGTTAGACCAAGCTCTCCACTACATGCAATCGAAAGCGGGACCCCTAGGCCGATATGCGGTCACTTCTCACGCGCTTGCTGGTATTACTTTACACCTGGCTTAATTTGAGTCATTTTATTTAATAATCATAGTAAAATATCCAGTCTAACTGAAAACACATGTGCTTGCAAAAGTAACACCGTACCGATATTAAACATAGCAAATGAAAAGTCGGATTAATGCAGACTTAAGGCTTACCATTCGAAGAAGGTCACATCCGGGATTTTTTACAAAACAGTTCATGAGTTCACCAGGAGTGACAGACTGGATCGGTGGCATTTTATCGCTGGTGGTGACGGTTTCCTGTGGGGTGGCGGAGGAATAAAGTGATACTCTTCGAATCAAAAAGATGCAACTTTCAATCAAAGTTAAAGCATGCAACTTCACCAAGTAGGTAGGCTGTTAGGTATGTAGAATTGAACGGTTTTTAAGGCGTAGGCGTACTAAGGTGGGATCATAATACAGTAGTCGCCGGCCCACCTCGGGCCCAGACCAAATTGGGCTTAATAA